CCCCAAAACCCCAAAACCCCAAAACCCCAAAACCCCTTTTATGTGATCACAGATTGCTAATAAGAAAATACTTTTAATAATATTAAAATATCTGCAAAATGTTAAGCCATAGCATGATTAGAAGAAACTTCAGCACTGTCTCTAAGAACTACGTCAATGGGCAATGGGTCTCCTCCAAGGGAGATGTCTTTTTCGAGTCTAAGAACCCAGCGACCCAAGAAGTCGTTAGGAGAGTTCCTCAAACTCCAAAGTCTGAATTTGACGAAATCGTATCTGTTGCTAAGAATACTTTTGAAGAATGGAAAAACGTTCCGCTCATGACTAGAATCAGATACATGTTTGAGTACCAGAGATTGGTAAATGAAAATACTGAAGAATTAGCTAAGCTAATCACTCATGAACACGGTAAAACTCTAGTCGATTCCAGAGGAGACGTTTTTAGAGGTTTTGAGGTCGTAGAATCTACTACTAGTTTTTCCAGCCACCTTTTGGGAGAGACTCTAGAGAACTTAGCATCTGGAGTTGATACTTACTCATACAGACACCCACTCGGAGTCTGTGCTGGTGTTGCTCCTTTCAATTTCCCAGCCATGATCCCACTATGGATGTTCCCAGTATCCATTACTTGTGGAAACACATTCGTTCTCAAGCCATCAGAGAGAGTTGGTACTACAACTGAAATGCTTGTAGATTTGCTCGAAAAATCTGGAGTTCCAAAGGGAGTTGTTAACATTGTTAATGGAGGAAAAGACACTGTGACCCATATCTGCCAACACCCAGATATCAAAGCAATTTCCTTTGTCGGATCAAACACTGCAGGAGAATATATCTACAAGGAAGGAAGCAAGCATGGAAAGAGAGTTCAATCAAACATGGGAGCTAAGAACCATTGCATTGTTCTTCCAGATGCTGATAAGGAGGATACACTAAACGCTCTTATTGGAGCTACCTTTGGATCCACTGGTCAGAGATGCATGGCTCTCTCTGTCACTGTTCTCGTTGGAGAAGCACAAGAGTGGGTACCAGAATTGGTCGAGTTAGGCAAGAAACTTAAGGTAGGACCAGGACATGATGAGACTGTCGACATTGCACCCCTCAACTCTGCAGAAGCTTTGGATAGAGTAGAGAGATTGATCGAATCAGGAGCCAGAGATGGAACCCTTCTCTTAGATGGAAGAAGGCCGACTGTTGAGGGATATCCAGATGGTAACTGGGTTGGCCCAACTGTCATTGACAACGTCAAGCCAGGCATGGAGTGCTATGATGAAGAAATCTTTGGCCCAGTCATGTTGATTCTTCGCGCAGACACTTACCAAGAAGCTATCGACATTGTAAACCAAAATAAATACGGAAATGGTGCTGCTATCTTTACTAGATCAGGAAGTGCAGCAAGAAAGTTCCAGAGAGATATCGAAGCTGGACAGATTGGTATCAACCTTCCAATCCCAGTTCCATTGCCAATGTTCTCTTTCACAGGAAACAAGGCTTCATTCTGGGGACAGAACAACTTCTACGGCAAGGCTGGAGTAAAGTTCAACACTCAATGGAAGACAATCACTTCTAGGTGGAGAGAGGAATCTGAGGAGGTTTACAAGGTATCTACTGCTATGCCAACTATGAAATAAGGGTCATTAACAAAGATATCCAATTTTGATATATATTTTAGGGGTTTTGGGGTTTTGGGGTTTTGGGGTTTTGGGGTTTTGGGG